ACAAGGCTATGAAAGCAGAATAGACAAAATGGAAGATCAAGTTAGTGACCTCAAGGAAGATAATGTGCAAAGGACCACATAGAAGAAAGGGAAATAAGAGGAAAAAATGAAGAGACACTTCAAGAATTATCCAACTCCATTAGGAAAGGCAGCACAAGAATAATGGTTATTCCAGAAGGGTAAGAGAAACAGACTTCTTATTAACAGAAATAATAGAGGAAACCTTCCCAAATCTAAGAAAGAAAATAAATATACAAGTCTGTGAACCTTTTAAAAGAACCCCTGGTTATCTAAATGTAATGAGACCAACACAAAGGTATGGTCTTTTTTTATTTTTTTTAAAGATTTATTTATACAAGCACTGGGTACAATCAGAAGCACGGGAGGGTGAGAGAATTCACCAGAGTGGGGAACAGAACAGGCAGACTGAGGAAATACACTGCTGAGGGGAGCAGTGGGCGTGGTAGGAGATGTCTGCGCACCATGTGGGACCATCGCCAGGGATTGAACCAGCGCTGCAGTGGCTGCGGGCAGCTTCTTAGCCCAGCGCTCAACTGCTGCGCCACCAGAGGAGGCCCCAAAGGCACGGTCTTGACTTCCAAGAGTTCCAGTAGTATATCCATCAATTCCACTGCTAGGTATCTACCCGTGAATGCAAAAAAACTAATTTGAAGGGATATATGCACTCCTATATTCATTGTCATGGTAACAACTTAAGTGTGCAATAACAGATGAGTGTACAGATGTGGTATATATACCCACTGGAATACTACTCAGTTATAAAGAAAAAAAAAAAGATGAAGTCTTGCCATTTGGATGGAACTAGAGGGGATTATGCTAAATTAAAGAAGCCAGAAGGAGAAAGATATGGTTTCACTCATATGTAAGATATAAAGAAATAAAATAAAGGGTCAGATAAAAACAAATCAAAAACAAATCCTAGAAACCTGACTGTAAAATTGAAGTCACTGGAGGGAAAAGGGGATGAATAGAGCAAAGCGGAGAGGGGACCCAGTGGCTACATTGGAGTACTATGGATGACATGGTGTGGGTGTGGAATGGTTACATCTGAGCAGTGAAACTATGCCTTTGGATCACCTGCAGTGTTGTAAACCAATGTTAATAAAAAATATTTTTATTAATCTTAGAAACCTAAGGAGAGAAATATAGTTAGAATTGGTTGAGGTGCACATTTTAAATTGCTAATGTATCAAAATTATGTGCTATTTTTGTGTGCATTAAAGGACACTATCAAAACAGTGAAAAAGTCAATTCACAGACTGAAAGAAACAATAAAATAAAGCAATATGCGCTATTCTGTCCACCAATGGAAGCCATGTTTGTCAGATATATGTAAAACATTGTCCTGGATCTAATTTTGAATTGTAACTTAAAAAAATTGACATGTTTGATAGAATCCTTAACTTTTAATTGGATATGCATATTATCCAACCAGAAATGAAGGGAATTGAGAAAACCTATAATTTTGCTGTAAACAAATGTAACAAAACATTAAGAAGAATTTAAATGATCAATTTATTCAATAAGTTTTGTTTATAAAACAAGTTGCTAAAGACAAGTATTCTGAACAGACAAAAATAATCATATTGGTAGAAAATATTAGGTATATTCTATTCACATAGTTCAAGATGGCCAAAACTAGATTTGAGATTATCCTTCATTTAGCAGTGCTCTGAGTTTACATTCTACTTTAGCACCTGTAGAACAGCATTTGCGCTAAAAAAAAATCCTATGGAGAAGAGTTCATTGGAAGTGTCAATCACTAAATCTATTTAGCATAAAATTCAACTTTCATGAAATATTGTAAGCAGGTATAAAAAATATAAATAAGACTATATAAATTTTTTTCAGAAAAGACTACTAGATGTGGCTAAATCTCTAATTCACATATGTGAATATGTACTAAGCATCATTTTTCTGTTTTGTAAAAAATATATTCATATTAACATATTTTTAGAACTTTAATGTCCATGGACATATGTCATTTTAATATTTTAGAAGCAAATTTATTTTTAAAATGTACTTTGCATCAAATCTTTTTATAGGTCTACTAATTCATAAAACTAACATGATAATAAATACATTTTAATTATTTTTATATCATCCTGTACTCTAAAAATGTCCCAGTTAGGATGGCTAAAATATATGGTCACTCTACTTGTGACTTGGAAATTCCTCTCCAAATGCATAGACATGATCCACATAAAAGAATGTTCACAGCAAATTACTTTTAATAACCCCAAACTGGAAACAACCAAATAATCAAGAATAACATGGATAAATAGGTGGTGGACTCACCTGTGGCTGCACACCTGCAAGCTTTCAGACAACTTTCCAAGACTCTTCCTTTAGTCTCTAAGACACACTGCCATCACCTTTCCTTGGAAGTTAGAAAAATGCTGTGGTTCATGTTTCTTCTTGACATTTCCCAAATTTCTGTGTAAGAATAGCTAGGACTCAGTAGATGGCGCTGCCACACTGCCTTTTGGGTCAGATTTCAGCATTGTTGTTTTCTGGGACACTAATCAGATAATTGGTAATAAGCCCAGAACAGTGGTTAGGAGGGAAACCCAGATGGCTTGACCTATTTCTAGTTAGGTTACAACTAAGATTCTCAGCCTCATTGTTTTTTCAAATCCTTTAAAAAGTTGTTCACTGAGTAAACAGAGCTACTGTGAAAACATTCATTCCTTGGGCATTTGACCTTTTATGTCTATGATCTGAGAATCTGAAGGTATTTTAACTAAATAATTTCCAGGTTTTACAATTTAAATGATAGTTAAATCCTCCCACAAATCCTTTATTTTATAAATATTATACATAAAACTACAAAGTCCAGAGATGTCATATTACTCTGCAAATTGAGTTTTTACTCTCAGAAAACCACCTTTTAATTTGAAAAAAAAAAATCACTAGCACTAGAAGAAGATATACTTTATTTGATAAATGAATGAATGTGCGACAAGTTGCTTAGGGGCAGAATCCATTCTTTTCACTCCCAAAACCTTCATTGGAGCTGACTAATAGGTATCATCTTGTTCAGTTTTTTGTTTTGTTTTATTGCTAAGTAGTGTATGGATACAAATTAGAGTAGATATATAACAAGCATATAGGAGCCTACCATTCAACTTAAGAAGCAGAAGATTATGGGTATACTAGCACCCTATGTATTATTCCCACTTGCTTTTTTTCATTAAACATTATGTTTTGGAAAAGTATCCAAGCTGATACCTAGTTTATTTATTTTTACATTTGCACATTGAGTGAATTCTCCACACTTTAGCTGAAACCATTTTTCCATTGATGCATATTTATATCGCTTCCAGTTTTCCACTATTATAGACAACACGCATTCTTGATGATGTGTAAGATATTCCTGTAAACCTATGTATTTTATGTAGCTTAAATATTTCATAACAGCAAAACATAAAAAATGATGTCTACAGCCATTTAACCAATTTAGCTTCAAATTCCCTCATTAAATGTAGTGCTTGTAATCTCTTACAGGAGTCAATGATATAAAAATCATACAAGTCAACAAACGGGGAGTTAAAAAGTCACGTAGAGGGTAATGCAGCTGTAGGGGTGTGCATAGTCCACTTCACTGCAAAATGCCAAATAGCTCTTCAAAGTAGAGTCAACAAATCCTACCCAGCTGTGTCTGGGAACTCCAATTGTTCATCACACTTCCTAATGCTAGCTTCTCAGTTTTTTATTTTTTAATATTTCCTTATTGAAAATTGTATACATAATATATATATATATTTGAGACTACGGAACGAACATTGAATTTTTTTTAAGTATTTATGCATACAAGAACTGGCATGTAAGTCAGAGCTGCGGGGGATGAGAGGACTCACGAGAGAGAGTGGGGAGCAGAACAGGGAGATCCATTGAAATACAAGTGTTGAGGGGAGCAGCAGGAGAGACAGGAGATGTCTGCTGCACCATGTAGGTCAGCACCCTTTCTTCCGTGCCCCTGCCTTATGTCCAACTCCTGCTGCAGTGGCTGGAGACAGCTCGATAGCGCTATGTCTTTAACCCCTGCGCCACCAGGGAGGCCCTTATCATTGAATTTTAATAATTATTAATTGATGGCCCATCTTGAATCATATATAATCATTTGCCTACACTCTCCCTAAGATAATTCGAAGCAAGGCTTATCATTCCAGGATCTTACTCTCAAAGAGAGGGAGTATTCTTTCAAAAACATCTGCAGTGCTGTGATTGCACTTCAGATGATGATCAACAATCATTCTTTAAAAGCATAAGCTATCTAGTCAAGTTTCAGCTTTTCACATTTGTCCCATGACATTGTTATGGTATGTTTGACCCATGCTCCAAACTAAGATGATAAGTTGTGATTGCTGATATGCCACTTACACCCCTTTTAATTTGTGGGTTCCTTTTTCTCTCCCTTGTTTACTTATTTAAAAACTTCTCTGTTAGAGTTTACTAATCTGGATTTTGCTGATATTTCTCCCCAGGTGAGCATGCTTCCCTCTCTTCAAATTTTTCTGAAAACTGGTGTCAGATCTTGATTAGAATTATGTTCAAAATGTTGGGTCCCATAGCTTGCAAAGCACTCTGGCACATTCTTGCAGGATCTGTTCCCAGTCCAGGAATGGAGCCTCCCTCCAAGTACTACGATCATGTTTTAAATGATGAGAGGCAACATTCTTAGTTATTTATGGACATGTTCCCTGTGATTTTTTTCTCTTGTCTCTTTACCAAAATTTGAGAACAATCTTGGAGGGTAGTTGTCAGATTGAAATATTTTCTGTATCAAAATAATATTTCTCAGCTAAAAATAACTCCCTGTGATATTTGGATCCTGCAGGTCTATTCTCCAATTAGTAACATGAATTTATTTTTCATCCATCCAGAGTGCTTAGGATTAGAGTAGAGAAAACAGAAAACTTCTCTTACTGTTCCATTCATTACTAAAAAATAAACAAGATTTCTTTCCATGTTTCCAGGTTATTTGGTTGAATTTGGAGAAGGCAAAACAAATAGTGTGAAAACTAACCACTACAGAAAATCTCAGCGAAAAGTAAGATGACATTTTCTTTAAAATTCATAGACTTGGTGGATAACACATTGCAGGACAGAAAAATTGGGATCTGTAATATTGTTGAAAATTAATTTCTTATTTTTTTTGCTCTTTAAATTCTGGATGGAAAAACTAAACCCAAAACTGGAACAAGGGCCAAAGAGGAGGCTGTGGTTTAATTTGATGCAAAGATCACAAACCTGGAATGGAATCTGGCATTTTTGTGCTGAGTCTAAATAGCTAAGGAATTTCAAATTATCACTGCAACCTAAGTAGAAAAAAGAAAACCTCTATGATGTTTCTAAACCTTGAGTTGTGATTTGGGGACTCAAGCACATGTGTCACGAATTCCTTTTACAAGGCTGGGGGTGGCCGAGTAGCTGAGGTAGATGTGAAAACCAGCATCCCTCTTGCCTTTACAATGTTATGGAAAGTTTTCCTATATGTAAATATATTTGGGGATAGGAATGATGGGGAGCATTACTTGAGTCATTGCTTGTCATGATCTTCTAAAAACAGATTTTTTTAATCCAAAAATTTGAATTTATTCACCAAAATAAATTCTGAAGACTGAAAGCAATCTTATGAAGATTTTTTATTTAAATATTTTATTTTATATAATTCTTACATCTTTTTTTCATCTTTGCACAATGGATGCATTTTCATTTTGGTTATATTCCCCATACAATTGGCACCCCCCCTTCTTTTGACTCTAGTCCTTTCTTTCCCCGCCCCTCCCCTCCCCTCACAGCCTCCCGTAGTGTGTCTCTGGTTTATAGTTGCTTGTTGATTTTCATTTTTACTTTGTATTGATCAGTCTTTTTCCTGGTCTCTTATTTGGGTTTTCTAAATTCCTGCTATGAATGAGACCATTGGTATTTTTCTTTTTCTTTCTGACTTATTTCACTGAGCATGATCCCTTCCAGCGCCATCCATGTTGCTGCAAACTGCATGTGTTATCTTTTTTGATTGCTGAGTAATATTCCATGGTGTATGTGTACCACATCTTCTTGATCCAGTCATCTATTTTTGGGCATTTGGGTTGTTTCCATAGCTTAGCTATTGTAAAGAGTGCTGCTATAAACATAGGGGTGCAGGTGCCCTTTGGAATTACTGTTTCTGTGTCCTTTGGGTAACTACCTAGGAGTGGAATTGCTGGATCATATGGAAGCTCTATGTTTAGTAGGTCCAGAAATCTCCACACAGCTCTCCATAGTGATTGGACCAGTTTGCACTCCCACCAGCAGTGCAGGAGAGTTCCTTTTTCTCCACACCCTCGCCAACATTTGTTGTTGCTAGTTTTTTTTAATATGTGCCATTCTCACAGGTGTAAGATGGTATCTCATGGTAGTTTTGATTTTCATTTCCCTGATTACAAGTGATGTTGAACATTTTTTCATATGCCTGTTGGCCATTTGCATTTCTTTTTCAGAGAAGTTTCTTTTAAGCTCTTCTGCCCATTTTTTTGACAGGATTATTTTCTTTGTTTTTGTTGAGTTTCATCAGATCTTTGTAGATTTTTGTGATTAGTCCTTTATCGTTAGTGTTGTCTGCAAAAATGTTCTCCCAGTCGGTGGGGTTTCTCTTTGTTTTGGTTATTGTCTCTTTTGCTGTGCAGAAGCTCTTTAATTTGATGTAGTCCCAGCTGTTTATCTTTGCCTTCACTATCACTGCTTTGGGTGATGTGTCTTAAAAACTGAGATTTTTGATTGTCTTTACTGTTCTGGTTTAAATTCAGTTCAGTGAAATATCCTTTAAAAAATGAAAATTAAATAGTGATCAGTAAATAATTAGGAGGTTTCTTGATTAAACTGTTTTTATTTTGAGATGGATAAGAGTAGGTTCGGACACACTAAGAAAGTGTTTTGCAGGATGGGGATGTTTACTAACTTTGTGATTAAATGATGGGCTTTTTAAAGCAGTAAAGCTAAACAATTGAGTTTTTTTTTGGATAGTTGTTATAAACCACCCTGGAGCATCATAGTGGAAATATGCATTACACACGGTTGAAAGATGTGGGGAGATCAGGAGACCAAGGGAACCCTTAGAGAATAGAAGCATTTCCACCAGGCAAAGGGGAAAATGCTAATTGGCTGATACTTAGCACATTAGAACTGGGAGGGAGCCTGGGATCATTTCATGGACAGGAAAACTGGGGTGTAGAGGGGATAACTGGCTAGTCCAACACCTCATACATTGTTAGAGGTGGAGAAGGAAGTAGAAGCAATAATTCCTGCAGAGAAGAGGCTTTGAGATCAATCTCACCAATAACAAAGGCTCTTAAGGCAGGTGCTGCCTAGAATAGCAGCTGCTTGTTGCTGGTATAAGCTTAGTTCTTAGCAAGCATTGACCTTTCTTTCAGTTTAAAAATTAGATGACTTGGATGAGTAGGTCACTTCAAGAAAAGCGAAATGAGCTCCCAAGCTCAGCTTTATCGTCCATACAACACAGTACACCAGCCCTTTCCAGAGATTTATGCTTTGAATACAAGAGAAGGAAGCAAAAATTGATCATTTCCAAGCCCAGGGATTTTCAAGAGCATGAGGATCACTTTAAAATAACTAAATGTACAGCTTTATAAGAGATAAAACAACAAATTAACTTCTGTGTCTTAAGAGCTGTGACATTTGGGGGAAAAAAAAGAAATCCTGACTCTGAGATACTTTTCACTACATCCTGATGGCAACGGAGCATTAAGAACAGCATGTGGAGCCGCTTGTTATGACTGGACAACGGTGGTGCTGTATGAAAGCTACACTCTGCTCCCGGCCACAGACCAGCTACAACACTGCATTAAATTAACATTTTCCCATGATTTCTCAATTACACACTTGATGATTAACAGCACCATGAGAAGGACCATCTTTTAGAATGACTGTAAACAATACGCAAATTCACATACACGTTACAGTAGGAATTCTTCTGTTTTGGGGGTCAGCCATCAGAGGGTAACAGGCACTTTCTCTTTCTCCCTGTAGCGTGAACATCATCTACTATGTTACCGAGGTGACTTCCTCTGTCAGATGATTGGCCCTTTCTCCCAGTTCCCACTGCCCTGCCTTACCTCCCTGCCTTCATCTGCTGGGGTCTGGGCTGTGTCAGAGCATCCCTTCCAGTTTCTGGTCTTCCATGGTGCTGCCAGAGAGCTATTTATGATTGCATAGCTTTGCTGTTTAAAATCCTTCAAGGTCATAATCCCTTCTGGGATTCCATGGCATTTTGAACATACCTCTATTTAGTAATTTATCACATAGAACAGCAATGATTTGTGTATGTGCCTACCTTCCACACTAGTACATGAACTTCTCAAGGATGGGGATCTTAACCTCACCTAAAATTTTTTTGGCAGCTTTGACTCAGCCTGACACATAGCATGTTGTTGGCTGATTAAATGAGTAGTCAGTACTAGAGAAGGAACTTTGATCATCCCTGTTCTATTTTGACACACGAGAGTAAGTTCATTGGCTCTCTTTACCATGCCTCTGAGTCACAGAGCATAAGGCCAGAGAACCCATCACTTATATCATTTGAAAAGGGACCTGGACTTAACCATGGCTTTAAACATTTGTCTACATATTTTAAAAGCTGAACATTTTAACAGGAATTAATTCACAACTGAGAGCAAGAAGGAGATCCAGGCTAGAGACTGAGGAATATGAGAGGGGGTGTGTATAGAACAGAAGGGTGCTAAGGTGTCCCAAGGAAGGTTTCCAGTGAAACTCTTGGACCTCACAACCGGGCAGTGCTGGGCTCATTTTGCATGAGTAGCACCTCCTCACTGACCATTTTTGACACTGTTTTTCTAAACCTTGAGCTAAACGATTAAGATACATGCTCAATTAAAATGGTTGTAGTTCTTTTTTTTTTTTTTTTTAAGATTTATTTATTTCTACAAGAGCTGGGGTACAGGCTAGAGGCGCTGGAGGGTGAGAGGATTCATCAGAGACAGAGCAGGGAGCAGAACAGGCAGACAGACCGAAAACACTGTTGAGGGGAACAGCGGGCAAGGCAGGAGAGGTCTGCTGTGCCAGGTAGGTATCGCCCTGGCTGGCTGGGAACGGAACCCTGCGCTGCAGAGGCTGCGAACAGCTTCATAGCGCTGTGCTCAACGAGCTGCGCCACCAGGGAGGCGCCTGTAGTTCTTTTTTTAAAACCTCACAACATATGCACGTGATAAAAAGCAATTCAAGGATAAAATTTAAGTGAAAACTTGTTTTGCCTGTTTCATTTTCCTTAGTTTTTCTTTATCCTTGTTTAAAATACCCTCTTCCTTCCAAAGCTTGAAATAATTTTATTTTCAAAAAACAGGTCTATGATCATCATAGTTTAAAAAACTTTGCTGAGTAAAGCTTTAAAAAGGTCATATCTAGGGCCTCCCTGGTGGCACAAGGGGTTAAGACACAGCCTATGAGGCAATCCACAGCCACTATAGCACGAGTTTGATCCCTGGCCAGGGAGCTACCCACATGGTGCAGCAGACCTCTCCTGACTTACCCACTGATGCCCTCAGCAGTGTACTTCAGTCAATCTGCCTGTTCTGTTCTCCACTCTGTCTCTGGTGAATCCTCTCACCCCCCACACCTCTGGCCTTTACCCCAGTCCTTGTATGCATAGATAAATAAGTCTTAAAAAAATAAAATAAGAGGGCCTCCCCGGTGGTGCAGCGGTTGAGCGCTGGGCTGCAAAGCTGCCCGCAGCCTCTGCAGCGCTGGTTCAATCCCCAGCCGCTGGCAAGGGTCCCACATGGTGCGACAGATCTCTCCTGCCACCCGCTGCTCCCCTCAGCAGTGTATTTTGTCAGTCTACCTGTTCTGTTCCCCGCTCTGGCTGTGGTGAATTCTCTCACCCTTCCGCGCTTCTGATTGTACGCAGTGCTTGTATAAATAAATAAATAAATCTTTAAAATAAATAAAATAAGAAGGTCATATCTGAAATGTGGTTCAGCGGCCTTTAATATTTATAAATATCATTCTCAACTGTGAGTGCACAAACCTCACCAA